AGAGTCAACATTAGATCAAGTTGGGCCTTCCAAGCCTTAATTCAGGCTCTTTCTAGGACACCCCGCTGTCCTGAAAAATTAGCAACCACGACAATTTTTGAACTATCCTATCCCACTCTGAGCGCATGTGGCATTTAGAAATCTCTTGCTTGTTCTTTTCTGTCCTTGGCACGGGTACAGTTATTTGTCTAGCACAATTGTTATTATTGTGCAGCCTCACATAATCTTTCTGCCCTGGGCAAACATGAACAATAGTGGGCTATATTTATGAAACCAGCAGCTTGAAAGCATGAGTTCCAGATTACCATTACAATTGTAGCATAATTTTTTTTTTTTTTGGTAGCTTAGACCATTTATATGGAAGGCCTTTCTCGGCTTCATGCAAATAAATTGGTTCTTTGTATATTCAGAGAGCTCCTCATAGTTGGTTTTCCCCACATCGTTCCAATCAATCATTCTGCATTTGTAAATGGTGACATCACAGATGTGCAGTGTTTAGGAAGAACTGATATGACAGTCATCTCCCAAAGTTGGAAAATAAAGGAATAAAAAAAAAAGCCCAGCTGTGGTTTCTCTTTAGGGTGAATTAGGAAGGGAGAATGGGAATATAGAGTAGGATAGAAAGATGGAATGGTAGGCTAGTGAAAAACCTGTTCATCCTCTCAATTCTCCTCTTCGGGATCATCTTGGGTTAAGGGTTATGATAAATCCATAGCTTCATCTTCTGCTTTTGATGGTCACAAGCACCATTTTATCAAGTCTCCTTAGGGGTGATCAATATCTACGGGACACCAGCAACACACCCTAGTGAAAAAGCACATTTGAGTCAGAAGACCTGTGTGTAATTCCTAGTCTTATCACCATGAATTTGAACAAATTCCTCTTCTATAAAATAAAATTAACAGCAATCCCTCTAGGGTTGTTGTGAGGGTAAAAGCAGCAATTGTTGGTTATCAATATCCAGATTTAAGCCATCAGACATAGCTTTGTTTACTTAGAGAACACTACTTTTCTGATGACAGGGATACATATGTCAGGCGTTCAAGGCACTCCTTTCTTATAGCCTATGTACTGCAAAACTGACTTAGTAATTGGAGGGTTATCTGAGGGGTCGAGGGTTGAATGGTGAGTGATGTTGAAGAATGAATCCTTATAGCTACCTCTGTCCTATCTATTCCAGGCCAGGCTCTTTGTTAGGACGTTTATGCATGATTTCTAATCCTTACAAGCAGATATTATTATCTCCAATGTACCCATGAGGAACATGAGGTGTAGAGACAGAGAGACATTAAGTGGCCCTAATCCTTTTTGTCTGTTCCATGAAGCTCATTCTTGTCACAATGAATTAGATCATAACATATCTTCTATCAGCTACATTTTACTTTCCTAAAATAGATTTGGGATATGACCCAGTGCTTTGATGATATCTGGGACACGCATTCTCAAACTGTCATTGGCGTGTCATTTACAAAAATTCAGACCCAGAAGTTCTAGGCATTTTTGGGAGTTTAAACCATCATTGCCATCCCGCACCACATGTCAAGTTTTTATTTTTATTTTTTACAAGTATCTGTTGTTGAAAGTATTACATAGGTCCTCCTCCCCCCCCCCCCCCCCCCCAACATTGATCTCTTCCAGCCCGATCCCTTTCCTCCTCCCCTAGGCCCTCACCACTCCATTTTCTATGTCTACTGATTATGTGTGTGTATATATATATATATATATATATATATATATATATATATACACACAAATTCATTGGTTGATCTCTTCCCACCCTGTTCCCCTATTTTTATTTCTTAAAAATATTTTTTATTGATTTCAGAAAGGAAGGGAAAGGAAGCGAGATAGAAACATCAATGATGAGAGAGAATCATTGATCAGCTGCCTCTTGCAAACCCCACACTGGGGATCAAGCCTGAAACCTCGGGATGTGCCCTGCCCGAAAATTGAATTGTGACTTCTGGTTTACAGGTCAATACTCAACTACTGAGACACGTCAGACAGGCAACAATGTGTTGTTTTTTACTTAGTATCAATCACACAATAATTATAAAATAATTTCTTATATTTCATCATTTTTTACATTGAATTGCTTTCTTTTATATGGGAGAAACTGAGGTTCAAACAGGTTAAATGGTTTATCTGAGATCACATACTAAATGACTCTTATATTCTCCTTACTACCCTGCACTGATTTTCTAGGAAACTCTATAAACCTGGGATTCTAGTCTAATATCTTGTATCTTATATGGTTTAGAAGAATCTTCTGGAATTTGTGCTCCCAATAGCAATTTATTCTATGACTTTCAGATTTCTTATTTAAATTTGTATATCTACATATTTAGGTATTTTCATGTATGTTATTTTATTCATCTTCACAACAATCTTAAGGTTGTACAGCTAGAAAATGGTAGAGCTAGCATTGGAACCTGGATGTTTCTGATGTCAAGTCCTGTATATTCCATTACGCTATACTGCTTTGGTTATGAATTGTATAATCTTGGGTAAATCACTTAATTTCTAGGACATTCAGCTACCTCATCTATAAAGTGGGTGTGGTAATTACTACCTTTCAGAGTTGTTGTGAAGCTCAAACGTAATAATGTAAAATAGAAAATGCAAGTAGAAACATCAGTTGTGGTCATAGCTGATAGAGGTACCAAGGTGGAGTGATGAAAAATAGTATCTCCCCTTCTCTCTTGAGTTAAGAATAACAGTCCTGGGCCGAAACTGGTTTGGCTCAGTGGTAGAGCGTCAGTCTGCGGACTGAAGGGTCCCAGGTTTTCCGGTCAAGGGCAGGTACATTGGTTGTGGGCACATCCCTGGTAGGGGGTGTGTAAGAGGCAGCTGGTCGATGTTTCTCTCTCATAGACATTTCTAACTCTTTCTCCCTCTCCCTTCCTCTCTGTTAAAAAAAAAAAAAATCAATTAAAAAAAAGAAAAAGAATAACAGTCCTGGCTGGTATGGCTCAGTTGGTTGAGTGTTGTCTTGTGCACCAAAAGGTTACTGGTTCGATTCCTGGTCAGGGCACAAGCCCAAGTGTTGGGCTCAATCCCCAGTAGGGGGTGTGCAGAAAACAGCCAATAGATGTTTCTCTCTCACATCAGTGTTTCTTTCTCTCTCAAAATCAATAAAAAGTATTAAAAACAATAACAGCAGAGCAAAAGCAGCTCAGGAGAGACTTTCTTGAATTAAACAGTTGCTCACCAGACCTCCATGTCTCACTCTTCATGACTGGGCCTTGTAAAAGGAGTCTCTGGGGGGGCTTGTCTAGGATGTTTTGCCTGTGGTGGCAAGGGTCTAAAGACTTAGGTGGGGCTAACTCAGTCCTGGATCTTCTTGTTCATTTGGCCCTCCAGATGGGTCAAATGGGGACTGCTATGGTAATGATAACAGGGCACGGGCCTGATATGATTGTGGTTTATTGTGTGGGAAGCCAGAACACAATACTGAGAAAGGAAGACAAATTCTGGATAAGAACATTTATTGAAGCTTACTCTGTGCTAGACTAAACTGTGAGGGGGACATAGTCACGAGTCAGCACTGTTCTCAAGGACTTTACAGTCTAGAGGGGTCACACAAAGCCTTCAACTAACTTAGGAACCAGGCAGACTATATTAAGGAACATATCAGAGCAACTAAGAGGTGGGGTGGGAGTGCTATTTTTAATACAGTCAGGAACTAAGACCTTTATTGAGTGGATACTATGTGCTAGGGTCTGAGAATATAGAGGTATATCAGAAACAGTCCTTGTCATTGAGGAACTTTCATTTTAGAGAGGTAGACAGATGTAAACAGTTACTGGGGTGATGTGGCTTTAAGGTAGAGAAAAATGTTGAAAAGAAGAGGAGAATGGCCCTAGCCAGTTTGGCTCAGTGGATAGAGTATTGACCTGCAGACCCAAGGGTCCCAGGTTTGATTCTGGTCAAAGGTATGTACCTCAGTTGCAGGCTCCTCCCCTGCCCGGGCCCTGGTCTGGGGCACATGTAGGAGGCAACCAATTAATGTGGTTCTCTCACATCGGTATTTCTGTCTTTCCCTCTCCTACTGTCTCTAAAAATCAACGGAAAAATATCCTCAGGTGATGATTAAAAAAATAAAATTGAAAAAAAAGGAGAGCGTGTAACTGACTTGGGGAGGCCAGAGGAAACTTTGCACAGGAGGTGATACCTGAGTCTTGAGAAAGTAGAGTTTGCCAGGTGGACTGTGGGAGGAGTTAGGAGTACTGTAGGCAACTGAGCAGGTCCCAGTGCTCTTTCATTGAACAATCTAAGTGTGGCAGGTAGCAAGCGGGCAAGGGAAAGTATTCCTTTCCTCTCCCTCCTAGATGATGACTCCTGGAGGTGTGACTTCTATTCCAATATCACATCCTAATAGCATATGGCTAAATGAAAGGTGTTAGAGCCAGACCTGGGTCCTATCCCAGCTCTCTAGTTAGCTGAATGACATTAGGCATGGCATGCATGTTTGGGTTTCTTCATTTGTACAGCTTATGCTCCAGTCTCCCATTCAAAAACAAAGCATTTAGCACCGATGTGGGCCTATCTAAAGTACTGTCATTACTTCACATCATTGCATCATTTAGTTCTCACAAGAAACCTAGACTTTGGCTATATCATTTCTCTATTTTTTTTTTTTCAGAAGCAAGAAGACCTGTGTGAAGTTCACAGGATAATCTGGAAGTTGGCTCCAAAGCCCGTGCTCCGCGCCGGGTTTTCCCCAAGGGGCCCCTGTGGGGGGACAGACTCCGATCCCGCGGCGCTAACTCCGGCGCCAGGATTTGGGTGCGGCCGCAGCGTGCGCGGGGCGGGCGGGGCGGGGCCAGGAGGGGCGGGGCGGGCCGAGGAGGGAAGTTGTCGAAGTTCGGGGAGACTCCCGCCCGCCCGCCCGCCCTGCCTGCCCCGGCCTCGCCTCCGGCCGCTCCCTCCGCCTCCTCCCCGCCCCGAGCCCCAGTCCGCCCGTCCTTCCTTCCCCTCTCGTGCATGATGGAAACACCATGGCTGCGGCGGCCCAGCTCTCCCTAACACAGGTAACGCCGCCCGCCCGTCCGCGGGGCTCCGTCGGCCGGTGTCCCCGGTCGACCCTTTCCTCACCCCCCTCCGCCGTCCGGGGGTCAGCGACCCGGGCATTTTCTCTCGGCGGCGCCGGGCGGGGCAGCGCAGAGGGAGAGAGTGGAGAGCGTGTGTGCTGGAGGGGAGGCGCCATCCCGAGCGAGCCGGCTGCTCCGCCGCGGCCGCCGCGACCCCGCCCGGGCCGGTGGGCGCCCCCGGCCCCGCCCCGCCCCTCGCGGCGCCCGGGGCTCCGCGCCCCTCCGCGCCCCGCTCAGCCGGTGCCCGGCCCCTCTCCCTCCGCTCCGCTCCGCTCTCACCCACCCAGGAAGTTTCCTGCTTCCAGGCCACCCCGTCCCAGGTGAGCGCCTGTTGAGCTCCTGCGACCGGCCTCGCCCCCAAGTCCGCCGTCGGCCCGGCAACGCGCTTCCCGGGTGAGAGTCACCTTCCCGGGGCCGGCCGGCCGGCGGCTGTCCTCTCCGGACCGGCCTGTTCTCTCTGGAGTCCGGCGAAAGCCCCCCGTTCCCCAGCAGTTTCCTCCAGGCAGTCCGTGTTCCAGACAAGTCCCATCCTCCCCAGGTGCCTGCCCTGCTAGCCCCTGCCTCTTACCCCTCTTGTCAGGTTTCCTCCCGCCCCGGAGGAGAAGCCTTTTCCTACTCAGGTCGGCTCCCATGCCCCCCGGTGGGCTTCCAGTTCATCGCTGTCCAAGCGGATCACCGGTGTGGTGGTGGTGGTTCCATCAGTCTTGGGGCTGGGAACTTGACCCCAGACTAGAGATCACTCATCCTGGGAAGGATCGTCACCCAGATAGGTTCTCAGGGTCTTTCCTCTTCCCCCTTTCTTTCTGTTTCCTTCAGAATCCCGCCCTGTGTGCTTCCCAGAAAAACCTCTTCGCCATCACTCACTCTGGGATCCTCCTCCCTCCTCTGCAAAGAAAGCCAGCTCTCCTAGTCATCCCAGGGTGAGGCGGGGACCTGCACCTGTCAGTCCCTCCCCACTCCTCTCTTAACACCAAAACTTAGCCTAGTTTCAACTTCTCAGCGACTCCCTCCACAGCCTGTGGCCAGGGACTTTCCCCCACTCCCCTCGGGGCCCACCTAGCTAGCCTTCCTGTCTGCTTGGTAGTATCTTCCCGCCACCTTGTAGTCTCCTTGGCCTGGATTTGTCAGTGCTTTATGAGACTTGAACACTGAGGTGTAGGGTATGCATTTGGGCTGGAGGGTTTTCAGCTATCGGGATCGAGAGGCTTTGGGGTGTTCCTCCTAGAACTCTAGGATAGACTTGAGTGAAAGATATTCTCACCGGGACCCAGGAATCACACGTGAACATGTGTCTCAGGTGAAATAACTAGCTTCAGCTTGCAGGAATTACCAGTCTCACAAATGCAGCCTGTTTATTTCCTAATTTGTTTAGTGTTGCTTATCCTATTTGGACAAGCAGGTAATGGGGAAGAATCCTTGGGATGTGGCAATGTCATCGAGGTGGTGAATCCCTCTGGAAGGGCCCCCCTGAAACCCAACTTGAAGGAATAGCAACATTGACTCTTGGGAGTTCACTTTTTAGGAGGCTTGTGAGTGACTTGCATTAAACAAGATCTGGTTGGCAGGCTGTTGCCCTCCAGCTCTCTTGGCCACTGTGGGCAGGACGTTTTTCCCCTCTTGAAGATTTTGTTCCCTTGAAGACTCCTATAGATTTACTTCTTAGCTGTGTTGTCTGCTTTATTCTCTCCCTGGGTAATACTGTGTTTTTAGTTTCTATTTATTAGCACTTGTCTCTGGAGAAAACCTTCTTCAGGCCCTGTCAGCTTTATAGACAGTTAAATAATTTAAATATGTTTTTGTGTGGTTTTTATATATTTAAATATTAGCATGCACATACGTAAATACTGAATTAGGGATATTATCCTGATACATTCATTGATTCCAATAAGTCAATTTAGAATATTTTGATTTTTAAGCCATGAAGAGGCAATAAGATATTTGTAAAGGCACAAGATAAAGAATCTTCCCAAGTGTTAATATACTCTGGTGTGCCTCCTTGTTATTCTAAAACTTGGCTGATTTGTGTTTTTTAATTTAATATTTTAACTGCTTGAGGCAATAAACTGAGATAACAATGCAACTTGGTTTCACATTCATTATTAATATGTTTATGTCAACCTTTTTCCCCAACACACACACACACAGAAAGAGAGAGGCTGACAGACAGACAGACAGACAGACAGACATAAGTAAACTCAAGAGAAAGAGAGCCTCCAGGGTTGGTTTGCCTTTTAATTCATCTCTCCCCCTCAGTGCCCATGTGGAAGAAGGTGATTAATAAGCTTGTCCTCTGTATGACTGAAAATTCTAAAGGGCTCTTTGACAGTTACAAAGATTAAACAGATGCTGAAGTTTGTTTCCACTTCTGGTTATGAGATAATAATGGTTTTGGAGAAGGTTCATTTGTTCAACTAATATTTGTTTAAGTACTTATCAAGTGCTAGGCACTGTACTGGGATTCTCTTATTTATAATATATTAGTGGCTCGGGATTGTCCCTTAGCCTGGCCTGCACCCACTCTAATATGAGACGCCTTGGGGAATGTCCGACTGCTGGTTTAGGCCCCATCCCCTAAACCTGCGTTGGACATTCCTCTCACAATCCTGACTGTGACCTCTGGCTCCTAACTGTTCGCTTGCCTGCCTGATTGTCCCTAACCACTGTGCTTGCTGGCCTGATCACCCCCATCTGCCCCCACTGCTGGCCTGCTCGCCCTCAACTGCCCGCCCCCCCCCCCCCCCGCCTGCTTGCCCTCAACTGCCCCCCCCCCCCCCCCCGCCTGCTCACCCTCAACTGCCCCCCCACCTGCTTGCTCCCAACTGCCCCACCCTGCCAACCTGCTTGCCCCCAACTGCCCCTACTGCCAACCTGATTGCCCCGAACTGCCCTCCCCTCCTGGCCTGACCGCCCCTAACCACTCTGCCTCGCCCAGCCACCATGGCTTTGTCTGGAAGGTTTCCTGGAAGGTCTCCAGGTCTAATTAGCATATTACCCTTTTATTAGTGTGTGTGTGTGTGTGTGTGTGTGTGTATTTTTTTTAATTTAATTTTTTATTTTTTTTTTTGCCTCTGTCAAGTAAGCAAAACTGACATTTGGGAGGAAATGTGAAAAATGTTTAATTTACTTCTTCCTTCCTCGTCCCCTGCCTGCCAACCAACCTTCCAACTCCCCAACCACCAAAATAAATGAGCATACTCCAGATTCTAGAGGATAGACTATTAGAATAATCAAATGTTAGTTTCAGTCCCAGCTCTGCCAAACTTAACTCAGTGTATGACAATGTATGATACTGAGTTAAGTCTCAAGGCCTTAGTTTTCTTAACTTTAATATTTATTCAATGAATATTTGTTGAGCATTCCCTATATGCTAGAAATTATTCTAAGTATTGAGGATATACGAGTGAACAAAATAAATAACAGTCTTGGAGCTTGGAGACAAAACTTGGAGCTTACATTTTAGTAGGGGAGTTTGAATTAGCTGATCTGAGGACCTTTCCAACTAACATTCTTTTTTATAGATCATATTCTATGATTTATAGATTTAGTGGTGATTTTCCCAGGGTATTTCAGTGCTGGATAGCCTTAGTGTTTTCTAATTTCAGTTGTTTTCACCAGGTGCTCACTTTTTTCCTTGTCAATAAGAAGTAAATCTTGAGAAAGATCTTGTGATTTTTGGTGATGGTGACATTACAAAAAGATATTAATAATTCTCTTTAAAACATTTTACAATTGCCCATTTCTTCCTTAAACCTGTATCCCTAATAATAACAATAACACTATTAGTTTTTCATTGGGTGTTACTATATGCCAAGAATTTTACTTCACTTAATCTAACATTTTACAAATCAGGGAAGTAATTTACATCAACTAGTAAGTGGTAGATTTGAACCAAGGTCTCTGTAGGACTCCACTATACTTTTCTGTGTGCTAGATGCTTGGCATTTTCAATCTTTCCTTGTATTTTTTATTCTCTATTTCAATATATGCCCTATTGTCCTAATTAGGTAGAAAACTTGAGGGTGGAAGCCATGTCTTGTGCCTCTGAATCTCTGGTGTCTTTCGTGTGTCAACTTTCATGCGGATGTTTAGTAGTGCTCTTGATGATAAAGGTTTTATTTTATTTAAATATGCATGACATGAGTATTTTATTTTATTTTGTTTAAATATGTTTTTATTGATTCCAGAGAGGAAGGGAGAGGGAGAGAGAAAAATATCCATGGTGAGAGAGAATCATTGGTTGGCTGCTTCCTGCATGCCCGCACTGGGGATTAAGCCTCCAACCTGGGCATGTGCCTTAACCTCCTGGTTCAATCACTGAGCCATGCTGGCTTGGCCGATATGAGTATTTTAAATAATCTTACAGCAGTTCAGCTGTTTTCTTGTTTTTATTTAATAAGGATTTTATTTAACAAGGATTTATTTAATAAGGTTTTAACTTAATAAGGATTATTTTTTTTAATAATAACAAAGTCCTTAGAATGGGATTTAAAATAATCTTAGTATGTGGTCTAAAATAATAAATACTATAAAAATACTTTTCCTTCTAATTCCTTTTCGTAATTGTAAGAGTGATATAACTGCATTATAGAAAGTTTGAAAATTGGAGGGGGGGAAATCTCCCATAACTTTAGTTTCTGGTATTTTATTTTCAATTTTCACTAAAACATTATATAGTTGTGTTAATAAATATATCACCATAGTAGGCTGGCTTAACAATTATAACAGTAAATACAGGGCAGAGTATGAAAATGACAATCTCATATTCTCAGGAAATTTGTTCTTTCATTGAGCGATATCTAACTGTTCTCAAAAATGGCTTGGAATGTTTAGCATTTGGGAGGAGTTGTCATAGTTGAAATTAATTAGGAACAGTTGGGTTTGTCCAATAGCAGGTCTCCCAGGAATAACAGAAGAGTATTCCTCTGTTTTCAGCAGGCACA